AACTGCCAAAGGACTCGCAGACAGCATTCTCAAATCTTGATGAGAACGTTCTGATCTGCACGTGGTCAGTTGCTCTACGTTTGTATAGTCGTGGACAGCACACTTGAACTGTTCGTCACGACGAAAAGGAAGAACACTCATCTTGGACTCGACTCTACTAAGCGAGACAGCCTTGTGAGCATCCACCGACTCGGCAACCAGAACTGGCCTGGAGGCTTGCCTCTGTCAGACACAGTACTTTGGCACTCTCACTTTTTGCTCCATTTGATAGATCGCTCTTTGTAACAACCCAGAACTGGATGTCAAACACACACTTCGGCTCCTTGATTGGATTGGATTCCTGAGCATGTTCACAATGTCACGGCCATGGTTTCTTCTTGAGGGATACAATGTATCAAATTTATGAGCTTCTTTTGGAATCCGAATGGCAAGTGGTCGTCGCCCTGAATCGTAGGTTCTTGTGCTGACAAAGCGAACGATTCCATCGCAAAGATGAACCTGACAACCTTCGATGCAACGGGGGATAGGTCGAAGGGAGAAGCCGTAAAGGGATATCGACGTTGGAATCGATGCACTCCATATGGCATGTCCCTGCGGGCCTGGCCTCCGTTTCCGTTCCGGGCATTTGTATCCTTTGAGTCACTTGGGATACTTCTTCGCGAGTCTCAGTCTTCGTAGCAACCTCCGCGTGGGTCGCAACAGTCGTTCTCTCAGCGCCGCAATTGTAGAGCTTGTGAGCTCGGCAAAGCATCCGCGTCAGGCTGAAGAGCACATCTGCTTCCTGCAACCAATCAACCTGACAATGAAGAGCTATAGGAGGTTCTACTAGAGCGTCTCATCACCAGGTTCGATCAATGGCGAGAAGCAAACAGAGTCTTCAGACTGACGGGGGTGCTTTGCAGAGCGCACAGGCTATCCAAACGTGTGGGGGTTCTCTCTATCATGGTCCAAGTAAGTGTAGCGCAAGTGTCTTCATCGTTCGTTGGCTGGCAATGGCAATTGAGGAGAACGAGATTGTGATTGAAGCATTACCGCTACCGCACAATTGTACCGGTACCGCACTACGAAGGCCGGAAGCAGCGTGACCCTGGCCGCCACTCGAAACTCACCATGGAACGTGCGTTATCTATACCTACAAAAGCTTGCATCCTGCGGTGTACGAGCGGTGAGACATTCGGGTGAAGCGGCGTTCTCATCCAAAACCCCTCATGGGTCGACTGCGGTGGAACCGGACCACGATTCTTCCCGTGCGGTAGTGCACTCACACATCAAGCCCAACCCAATCCATGTCCCCGCTTTAGCTGGAGCCATGGCAGACCATGACTATTATGGGAGACATCTGATCAATGCAAGCAAAAAGATTCCAGGTATCCCAAGGAAGTGCTTACCGGTGAAAAAGTGTGGTGTCAGGCACTTTGGGATGGTGCTGCGGTTGATTGTTGAATGATTGAATCGATCGATTCCCGAATATGCGGGAATGAAGTGTCCCCCCCACCGTCCCTTCCTTCTTTGGCTCGAGAGGAGTGGTTTCCAGAGCCGTGCTGATCAGGTACCGGTACGGTAGAGGGCAGATGCTCTTTTGGTTCATATGGAAACTTTTGCTGATAGGGTGAGTTGTCGCGTTTGGGATGCGTCCCACGAGTAGTATCAACATCCGCGCTTAGCTTGATCTGCAGCAAAGGAGATCCGGTCCGATCAAGCAAGAAACACACAGTCCAACGGAATCCGACTCCATTTTGCGACGTTGTACATCTTGCCTTCTGTTTCGGGTTTCCTCACCCCTGAATCAATCCGACGTAAAGTAAATGCTGGCGCTGGTGGGGCAGCCAAGAAAGATTTCTTGGACGCCACACAATGTGAAGGCAGAACCGAATTGTTGCATACTGTAGTTGAACCTCCACCAAAATGTTTGATTGTTTTGTCAATTGATTGACCAGAGATGTGAAGATGTGGACTTCTATTTTGTATCAAGACGTGCAGTCTCTATTCGACACGGTTGATCATCGCAAGATGAATGCGACAAAGGAGTCTGTCGTCGTGTCCGACAGAAAGAGTCCAAATCCACTGGTTTTCGATAGGTTGGTTCAGTTTCATGGGTTCAGTTACCATTGCAACCAACCAACTGTTTCCCTCAGACGAGGAGAGCTAGAGCGAATCAGCCTCGATATTTGTTGGATTCGATTCCGAATCTGGTGATATCTTGCCTCACCGATGCAACGATACCCGGTTCAGCCGCGAAACTCCATTCGGTTGGCAATATTGTTGGATCACTGCATTACCATCCATGACGCTGTAACTCGGGTAGCTCAATCGACTGATTGCCGCCACCCGTTATAGGGTTGTAATGCAACGAGCGGGGCGCCGGAAACTGTAGCGTAGCTGGCCACTCCATCCATGATTTGGTTCCGTGCCTTCTTGAGCTAATTTCCCCTTCGTATGCCACCGCCCAAAACAAATGCACCGCTGCACAAGACGTGGAAGTGGAACCGAACCAGCGGTTGGCACAATTGCAGCAAGCTCAAAATAGCAACACCGGCAAAACGTTCCAAAAATGCCCAACCTGCTTGTATGTCCAGGGTCTCGCACTCTGTCCTGCACTCGGATGAGGAAAGGAAAAGGCAGTAATTCTTGTCAACTTGTATATAAACGAGATTTCAGAATCTCCCGATTTTCCTCCTATGCATCCACTGGTGCATTCGTCACACAGACCGGTACGGCCCTCAATCAGATCATCAAGGTTATCTCAGCAACCTGAATTCCCTCAGCCTCGTACTCAGCCTGGAAAGAGCGAAAGGTATCCTCTGTGAACTTTTGCTGGAGCTTCTCATTGGCATAATTGATACAAAGCTGCTCAAGCCCAGACGCCCAACAAAAGCTAGGGAAAGCATATCCGCCAATCCCATTCTGCACCGCAGCACAGTGATCACACCGGGTGATGAGTGATGCTTTGCTTTGAGCGAGGATACGTCTATCAGAGCTCGAGCCTGCTCTCTGTGCGGACATGGTATCTCATGATTATCCCTGGCATCCCTGACATCTGTCTCCCCCGGACTCAGCCTTCCGGAGGTTGCTTCGATCAGCTCTCTCTCTCTCTAACTCTCTCCCTCTCTGACCGGGCAATGAATGAGGTAAAGCAAAGTGTCCCAGTTTGGAGTAGCGAGGACACCAACTTTTTAAAAGTGGCTAAAGCCGACTTCAATGCCAGGCCCTTGCTTCGTTCTGCTTCCTTTGGCCACATGACAACTGCGGTCAGACCTATCTCTTTCCGACGGATCTCTTTTCCGACGGACGCTTACTTACCCCGCGCCCTGGCCGATACAAAACAGGAACACGACCGTGACACTCAGGCGCGGTCCTAACCAGCTATTTGCACCTCTTTCTTCCTCCCTTCGTTCGTGAAATCAATTTAACTGTTAAAATCGGCTTGCTTTCCATCCATTTCCACGAAAGCTGCGGTACGGCGAACCATTGATTTCACATTATCAATTCGCCGTACCGCAGCTTTCGTGGAAATGGATTTGGCTTAGAGCCAGCCGAGCTTCCGAAAACGTCAGTCGTCAGTCACCCAACGAATCCTGGTTGATCCACATCAATCCTGGTGGATCCACACACCAGATTCTGCCAAAACGCAATCACCGTACGTCAGGAAAACTCGTGAAAATCGCATATGATTGTTCTTTGATAGAATCTCGTCGTGCATGAACGTGCGAACCACTGTATGTGGATAGGAATAAAATCTTGATTCGTACAACTAAATAAATCGACGAAAATAAATGTGTTTCGCGAATGCACGGAGGACACACATGGCGAATGGATAGGACCTCGCCTCAGAGAGCGAGAGAGCGATGTGTTGCTAGGCCATGCCAACCACCATTTCCATTCGGACGGGGGTTTGACAGTGAACTCTGCTGATGCGAAGAACACGGTCCGATTGAACCGAATGATGAATCATTCAATCGTTCGGCAAGAGCAAAATCCAAGAGTCGACCCCCCGCAGGTTCTGTCCAGCTCATTCTTCTTCTTCTGAACAAGGCTCGCCCCTGTCAATTCGTTCACCCCAGGTCCATGACTCGACTCTCCGCCTTCAGCTCTTTATGCTTCACACACCACCATCCATCTGCGAAGCGGCTGTCAAATCGATCGTTTTTACGCACAAGCTGGAGGCGGCCGCACTCACCATTCATGAAAAGCCACAAAAATTGGAGTACATACAGAACCGCAGTAGTAAAACTGAGGAAAGCTTCCGATTTCGATGATCGCGATTAAAAGCCTAGCCTACAGTGCCAGCAAACTCGTCACTGATGAGGCAACGCGTGCCATTGAGTTGTACTTTCCTGCACATTGCTACTCGGAGTCGAGTCGAGTCTTGGTTTTAAATTGGAAAAACTGATGGACAAAGAGATTTAACAAACCTCCATTGAAGAGTATTCAAGGTTCGCTTGCACGCGTATCAATCACCTGGCCTTGTCCTACATGTACATTTCGCACATTGCGCACCACGGCTGTACCTGTACCGGTACCTGGTACCATTGGATGTGCAGAAATAAATGATCATGGACCACCTATGCTGATATGGCAGCCTCCCACCAGCCCATGCATACCTGTAACGGCACTACGTAGTAGCGGTACTAGCTAGTAGCTAGGGATGTCAAAATTTGAAGCTATTGCTCAATTGGCGCCCCTGTGAGAGCCTCTCATTTATGTCTCTGTGGATCCCACAAAGTCAAGCCCTTTGGCCCCCGATTCGTCCCCAAATTCCGCCTCATCTTTGCCTACTAAGCCTGGTCCCTCGCCTGCTTTCGGCCATGTCGATCTGGTCACCTACAAGATAACTTACTTGGGGTACTAGTAGCTCTTGGGCTTGCAAGTTGTTGACCGACGCGCTCTGTACCGGTACCAGTACCGGTAAATGCGGTAATTGACTAACGCTTACATGACGACAGGCTCGTGCAATCCAGTTTTTGGCGCGGACTCACTCTCACTCCTTGACCGGTGGAACGATGGGTTACTTCACCAATCACCAATCTAGCAATCACCAAGCCCAGTCCAAAGATCAGCCCTATGCCACCAGAACCATGAGCGAGACAAAGAGTACAAAGGTTGCCGCAATAAAGCCTTCGGTGACGAAGAAACGTTCCGTCGATGAGTATGAGTCCATGACGCAACGGGAACTGATCGCAACGCTGCAAGATCGCGATGCAAATATCATCAAGCTGGAGAGCGAATGCAAGCGTCTCAAGAAGAGCACTTCCTCAGAAGGGCCCGTTGTTGCTGTCTCGCCTGAAAAAATCCAGGCACAGGCCCAAAAAGTACGCAGCATGGCCTACAAGGGTATCAAGAGTCAAATGAAGTGGAAACCATCTTGTAAGCACGGAACTGCGCGCTTCTCCTATGAAGGAATGTGCGACGAGGCCGCCTTCCGCGCCTTTATGGGGCTGACAGAAAAGGAAAAGACAAAGGGAAAGCGAATGGAATCTGGAGCATTTGAAAACAAAATCCTTGGGCAGAGCCTCGAGGCCAGCATCCGCTATGGATATCTCTATTTGAAGGGAAATGTTAACATTTCGTTTTCCAAGGATGAGTGCACTGTGAAGATCACTGGTGGATACGGCATTTAAAGAGCTGTCAGACATTTGGAGACGAAGGTCTACCAATCACCATTAGAAGCAAAAGCAGAGATCATGACTGCCGGTGCTGGTCCATTGAACACGAATAGCAGTCAAACTTAGCGAGGAACTCCTCACATAACAAGAAAAGTTAACTACTGCCTACATATTATATGAGGAGTAATCTGCCTATATTCTTTGGCACTCTGCGTCGCCAAAGGTTTTTTTCCACGGCTACAGCTGGGGGAGGGAACGAAATCGTGTGACACAGATAGGCCAGCCAAGATTTCCGGTAGCATAAAAGAGCATCCAACATCTAGATAGCCTCTGGGTTCAAGCGAGCAAAAAGCTGGGGCTGTGGTCTGCATGGGTTGATGTCGAACTTCGCTGCGCTGCTCCTGCTGGTGTATAGATCCATGAGCACACGGGTACATGCAAGAACGCAAGCCAAACAACCGGTCGAGTGAGCAGAGCAGCATCAAAACCAAAGAGGGAGAGGGGGGCAAGGGAGGAGGGCAGGGAGGATCAAAGGAGTAAGACTAGTAGGGGAAGAGATCAAGGGCACCTCGATCATGCTTCAGCGTGAGGGAAAAGACCTGGGCTTTCCGTCTTAACGCTTCCCCTGCGGTATCAAAGCTGCTGTAACCGGTTCTGGCCAGACTCTGTCAAGCCGCTGTGCCGGCTCAAATATGTATCCACGACTGCATTTCCCAGCTTTCAAACAACGATGTATCATCTGAACCATCTGGTGTACCTGGTATTGCTTTCGTGTGGGTTCATCACTGTTGCTCTCAACTTCTAAAGTCTAGTAACTAGACAATTTGCTCTCTCAGCTATGATGTATCTTTCGCTGGCACTTGTATCCGCAATCTGCTCGTCACAAGCTGCTGCCGACACATCATGTCCTTGGCGCCCATGTATCCCCCGTAGATTGCCGCTGTTCGGTCGGAGAGAGGACGCTAGTATCCGTGGAGAGGTCAAGGTGGAATCTTCCAGATGTTCTGATCTAACTCCTGAACATTGTCATGACGATACCGATACGCAAGGGGATCCGATGTCTCAGCTGATGAAGCTATCTCTCGCCCAAGCAGTTCCTATGGCACTCAAGGCTTTTGTTGAGATAGGAATACCAGATATTCTTCTCGAGGCGCCCAGTGATGGTTTGACCATCAATGCCATTATTGAACAGTTGAAGGATAAACCGGAGGTTCATCATGATTCACTATCGCTGACGCTTCGGATCTTGAGCACAGTCGGCATTGTGGTGGAGGAATCCGCCGTGGCCCCAACGTACCATCTTACAGTGATGGGGAAGTTACTCACAAAATCACACCAAAGCTCCCTTGATCCTATGATTCGCTACTTCCTGGACGAACCACTTTGGAACGCATGGGGTGCGCTTCCATCCTATATGCAAGCACAACAACAAACGACCCCCTTTGAATCTGCCAATGGCATGCCGAGTCAGCAGTACTACAGCATGCCAGAACATACCTCATCCTTGAAGCACGCCGGTAGCTTTGTGAGTTTCGTGTCACAGGAAGAAACGCGGGCTTGTGTGGAAGGGTTTGACTGGGCAACACTCAACAGCAAGACCATTGTAGACTTGGGTGGCCATTCAGGACAAGTCATGAGAGCAGTTGGAGCCAAATTCCCGTCGCTGAAATGCATTTGTCTGGATTTACCAGAAGTTATAAAAAAGAATTGTGCTAGTAGTATGGAAACCGAAAAGAATGGGGCTGTGGTCCAACTGGTGGGCGGAGACATGTTTGATCCTGCAACAATCCCACCGTGCGACGCCATTTTCATGAAACACGTTGTACTCTGCGATTGGAATGAAGCAAAATCTCGCGCCATTATGAAGTCGTGCCACGAGGCACTGCCACCGAGTGGACTAGCAATAATTGCCGAAGCTGTGCTTCCAAGCCCAGGATCGACCAATGGGCAGGAATCGCTTTCTCTTTTGGTGGACTATTTCATGACTTTGGATGGAAGAAGTCCAAGCAAAACATCGCAGGAATGGCAGAGTTTTGCAGAGTCAACTGGCTTCAAAGTGCTCAGTATCCAGCACACATCATTACCAACTTGCTCTATCCTTGTATTGCAGAAACAAACCATCAAGGAAGCCTAGGTAAAAGCTGTTTTGACTGGTAGTGGTGTAGTAGATTGAATGAATCATTCCATTGGTATAGAAGAATTGTTACGGGGGCTAAATGATAGTGATCACGGGGGGCTAAATGTTCTTTTGACCCTTGCGTAAAATCTACCCCGTCGCCGCAACGCCGCAGCACAACACATAGACCGTCATCCTTTTCGTCATTCCGATCAGCCTGTCAATTTGATTTGTTCCGTAACACTTCTTCATCCATTTGTTCTCACACAGGAGCAATCTAAAAAGCACTACACTACCAACCATGTCTTCTAACTTCTACGCGCTGTCTGCCATCCGTGGTGACGGTGAAATGCAAGCCATGAAAGACTTTCAAGGCAAAGTGGTGTATGCTACGAACGTGGCAAGCAAATGAGGCGCCACGGACCGAGAGTATGCTCTGTTTGAGAAACTCGGCAAGGAACACTGCGATGCTCTGGTGATTCTGGGCTTTCCCAGTCGCGAATTCGGATCTCAGGAATTTGAGACGGATGCCGAAATCCAAGCCTTTGCTGCGTCTAAGAATTTTCCTGGCATTTTGATGAAGCTGGGACATGTCACAGGACCAGGTGCCTCGGAGATTTGGAAATTCTTTATGAAGTCCACGAAATCCAAGGCTCCGGTATGGAATTTTGATGGAAAGTTTTTGGTATCCAAGACAGGAGCGGTCAGTTTGCCCACTGATTTGGAGGCGGATATTGCCAAGTTGATACAAGAATAAGCATTCAATCTGCAACTGCACACGGATACGGATACTTCTGGAACACCACTTCACCGCACCGGAATGGAATGGCTGAGATTTTGGAGATACTAAGGCACTGATGGAATGACGCATTGAAAGCAACCCATGTTGCTTCTATTCCTGACACTTATTGAGGCCTTCTTCTGCTAAAATCGAAGCATATTTGTTTGGTGTGCTATACTGAGAATTTACTGGCTGAACAATCTACCTGAAGGCTTCCTCGGAGGCTTTGCCAATCAAGCAGCTAGGAATGACAAAGTGAAACGAGCTCTTGCCTTCACTTTTGAGATATAGCTAGCGTGTCCGTGGGAGTGCTGAGTCAGACTGGGAGACTTCACCTGCAGAAGTAGTTTTTGAAAGATTCATCCACATGAACTAGAAAAGATACATTTGACTGTTTTTATGGTAATCTAGCTAGAAGTGCAGCAATGCCTCATGCTTCTTTTGAGGTTGCACAGTGCCAAATGCCCTTCCATGGAGCCCACTAGACTTTCCGAGGATGGTAGGAGAGCACAAGATGGTTCCGGTCCAGCCACCAAGTCCAATCATTATTGCTTTGATCAACACGGATTCTAAAAACCCTGCCTTGTTGGGCGACAACAGAGCTCCCATCATGTAGGTACCAGGAACAAGAGCATAGAGGCCTGCCAATGTATTTCCCAATGCCTGTCTCCCCGTAAACCGTGAAATGATGCCCGCGGAAAACGTCACAGTGGCAGCCGTCAAAAAGAGAGGCGCCCCAGCCCAGCTCAGAGACATGGCCAGCATCCCATGGAACGCCATCAATGGAAGATCTCCATAGCTTGGACGAAAGAGAGCTGACCAAGCAGTTGCTGTCAATGGCAGAAGCAGAGGAAAGAGTTTTTGGCTAATCCCATGTGCAGATGTCAGCATGCTCGAGTAGTCATGAGGCAAGGCAGAGGCAGGGCCAAACATGATCCGAAAGGCAAAACCCAACCCAAAAATCATCGTGTAGGATATGAGACCTGTAAAGAGTATTCCCTCGAGCAACCTTGCCGTCCCGGTTACCTTGTTCCGACTCATGACTTCAATCACTCCGTAGACTACCTTGAATCCCTGCATATAATCCATGACAGAGCCCAATGCAATGGCTCCAAAGCAGAATCGATGGGGCCATTTGATTGCCAGTAGGCCAGAACATAGACCTACCGCAAAACTGGCGGCCACGTCGGCCAATATTTGTTCTTCAAAGGCAAGCTTTCGAAACGTTGTAGCATAGGATATTGTCACTGCCATTGACGCAGCCGCTAACATGTCTGCAAAGCCACCTCCAAACCACATGGAACATGCTCCTGCCGAACTCATAATTTTCAGCAGATTGACGACCTTTTGGGGGTAGAGTTGTCGTTTGTTCTCTTGAATCGCGTTCATGGCTGTGGAGGCTTCGTGTGCGGCCAACCGAGTAAAGATATTTCGTGTCGAATCATCAATTTCCCAGAACTGGTCGTCTTCTGCCGTCTCATTGGTGGCCTGCTGAAGTTTTGGATTGTTGAGAAAGAAGAAGAGACCATAGGTGGACGAAGCCAAGTCCAAGATTTCCGATGCCATAGCTTCTTGTGTGGGCAGTTCGTCCTGCAAGTATTTGGAAGTTGTGCGCATTTCTTGTCGCTTGATAGAATCCAGCTCCTGTCTCCTAGGCATGCGGAAAGATGCGGCATTGAAGCGCTCTGTGCTCTTGGTGTTACTGGCAAAGGAAGCCAATCGGACCGCTACTTGTTCGACTGCTCCCAATTTGTAAATGTCAAAGCCAGCACTCATCTTGAAAAGGTTTGTTCCAGCACATTGCTTGTTGTCGGATTCTGGGTAGTAAACGAAACATCGGTTGGGAAGAATCAGGAGTTCCATTCCTTCCTTTCCAGTCATCCCTTCGTGGACCTGTCAGCACAATGGCGATTACGAGATTTGTCAGTAGCTCTACTCTAGTATCTTCAGAAGCAGCAAGCACAGCTACATAGTTTGTGCACACGTACTCGAGTCATGACAGTGTCCAAGATCCACGTGGGACACCCACTGCCGTACAAATTTTGGGTGATGCCCGAAACAACTTGTCGTTGGACTTGGAGGTCTCCATCGGTGGGGACACCAAATCTTCGTTCGTATTCACGCAATAGGATAACCATTCGCGCCAAGGACGCCAAGGACCCTCTCATGTGTTCATCGGATTCTTTGGTAAAAGGAGACGCCCCCGTAATCAACCATCGCATTCGTCTGATCAGTCCTCCTTTGGGAAGAAATTCTTTCCATTCGTAGTGACGTTTGGTTCGTTCCAATGCTTGAGGGACATCATCATTATCCAGTACCGGCTCGGTAGCGTTTAGCGGACCACCGTCTAGCGTCGCATCCTTTCTTCGCAATGGACTAATCACATGAAGAGCAGAAATCCGTTCCGAGAATGACCGTTGCTGCTTCTGAGCCAGAGCATGGGTCAGAGCAGCCGGTTGGAATGCCTCCGCCGTGCTGACACCAAAACAGAGACACAACACAAGGACACAAGCCTCGATCTTTCCGACGTGCAAGCTACTTCTCATGCTATGGGACAATTTCAGCAATCAATGTGGGCAGATTGATTGATCATTCCTCTGTTTTTGTGTTGCTCTTCCGCAAGCTATTAGCACAAAGTACAATTGAGCAAGCTACATAGAAGTACGGTTACTAGTACCGGTACCTGGTATGGTACGGCAGAGTTGTGGGATGCTGAATGTCGTTTGTCGTTTCTCGGAAGCATCAGTGATGTCATTCATTTGCACGTCTCAATGTCATTTTGATTAGGGCTAGATCTAACCATGGGAAGAATCCCAACGGCATACCGTCATCAAGTACGTATCTATCCGGATATGTACCGGCGGTACTGGTACCGGTACACGTACATAATGGCTCCCTTCTTCTTTTGTAACCACAACAAGTCGCTTTCGCTGCCTACCGGTACATCGTACCGGTATCCGCCATCGGAAAGCTGTCACACACACTACTCATCAGTACTTCTACCAGGTACCGTTGGTCCGCTGTGCGCTTTCACCGGATCTGTTCCTTATTCTTTCAGTTTCAAGCACCAGAACAACCATGAAGTTTTTCTCCAGAACAACCATGAAGAACTTGATTCTCTTGCTGGCTGCATGTACCATCCTGTTGATGGCATCGACCACTGTATCTGCCCAAGATACTAATGATACCACTCCAGATGATGAAACATTGATTGTCCCCGGCAATGCCGCTTGGTTGGGCAACTATGGCAGTGGCGACGGCACACCGCCCATTGACGACTACTTGCCAATATCGTTTGTCATTTTTGGCAACAACTCGGTCGCCATTGCTAGAGTGATGGTGGCACCCGACCAAGACTGTCCAAAGGTAATGGTGGCAGACGGTGCTTCAACGGAAGGATATGACGTGCCCATCACTACATTGCGTGCCCGTGGCGACGCCACATTGCCCCGTGCTTTTCCCATTTCCGTTTGTGAAACCAAACTCGTCACCCAGGCACAAAAGGAAGCGTGGTCGAACCGTGACATTTATTTTGAGGGCATTGATCAGAATGTCGTCATTCCGACCAACCCAAAACGCTTTTTGTTAATGGCCGACACGGGCATGCGGGTCAAACCCAAGAATAAATTGTGTCCAGACGGCCCAAAGCTGTATGGGGTCCAACAATGCCCGGCCAATCTTACCGAACGCGAACTGGATGCCGACTATCAAGAGGGTTTGTTTGGTTCGGACATTGGGGATTTTCAAGGACTGGACGAATGGCACTTTGCTACTGTGTTGGATCATGCCTTTCAAGAGAATGTCGACGTGGTCGTCATGGCAGGCGATTATTTGTATCGACAAGGCGTCTGTCCCAATGTCACGGGGGTCGATTGTGTCCCCATCAATGGGCCGCCGTCCTTTGAGGATATTGCCCCAGGAGAGGTCATTAATTTCTTACCGGGAACGTGGGGGGATAATTTGGCAGGATGGTGGGCCGATTTCTTTTACCCCGCGCATCAGCATTTGCGGAGTATTCCCTTCATTACACCAAAGGGCAATCATGAGGATTGTACCCGAGGTGGTCATGGATACATGCTGCTACTAGCCGAATCGGATTATCCGGTCAATACACGTGCGGGCGATTACTGCGAGGGCTACTTTGTAGGAACCTACCGCATGCCCTTTGAACATGAACAGTTTCTATCCTTGGATGACAGCATGATTGAGCCACTGAACAAGGGCATTGATCACTTCAATTTCACAGCGGGTGCTTGTCCACAAAAAGGCCCGCAACCCGTCTTGGCCACTCCACAAAATCGATTGACGGACCCCGAGGAGAACTCTACCTCTGTCCAGGAACAAATTGCATACTATTCGAGTGTTATGGAGGAACTGTATTGGAATTCCTTGACGCACGATACCAACTTTTATGTCGCCCATCGACCCGTCTTTGGGATTGGCTGTGATGGCGACGAAATGGCAACATTGGATTGGACCATGCAACAAGCCATGCGCAATCATACACTGGATCGTGTCTCGGCATGCATCAATGGTCATATGCACTGGTTGGAGGCACTCGAGTTTGAGGACTATGCCTTGCCCAATCAACTTGTGGTGGGACATGGTGGCACGAAATTGATTGACAACTATGTCAATCAAGACATTTTTGATGGTGGAGTGCGGCTGGAAGTTGGAAAGAATGGGCATTTGCAAGGAACAGTCAAGTCGGGCTTTAGTCAAGCTGAAATGGTTGGATATGCCGTCATGGAACGGAACGATGATTTGAGTTACACAGTGACATTCAAGGGATACAATGTGACGACAGATGAGATGGAAACCTTTGACTATGTCATGAACTTTCCCAAAGGTCCTCGAGTTGCCACCCCCGGTAATGGTACGGGCAGTGAAAGTGGAAGTGACACCGGCAGTGAAAGTGACACTGGCGATGGCGATGGCAGTGGAGGAATATCCATCTTGGCTAAGACTGGCTTGATTGCTGCCGTCGTTTCTACCTTGCTATTTTCAGAATTTCTGTAAGGCGGAAAAGTCCTTCAACGATACCAAATTGCAAACGGTACTTTTGCAAATCTTGGTACTTTCTTTAATAAAACTCGTGATCTGTTGAAGCTGAGTGTGGTTTGTGTGCACGTGGTACAGTCGTACCGGTACCTGGTACACCAGTACATGTATCAGTGATTTTCGCACGTCTCAATGTCATAGATTTGGGCTGGATGCTGGATGAGCTGCTGGCTGGATGAGCTGGATGTAAGTCAAAGAGTCAGAGCCACGGGCCTCACCCACGAGCATACCGTACCGTACTAGTAGCATAAATCTTTTGACACCGAGTGCGATTTACCTCAAAGTTCCGTACGAACCACCAATTTACACGACCACTCTCTAGCTCTCGTCAAGATGACGTTCACGTTGAAATTCCTCCTTCCGTCTGCTTCGATGCACACATGTCCATTCCTTTCTCCGGCTGCAAACCGCTGAATGACGGCCGACAAAGTCCGCGGTTCCATGCTTTAGGTGTTGATGCCATGGCTGTCAGGGTGAGTCAGGCATCATGTACAAGAGTAATGGGTTGATGGCCAGCACACAGTTCTGGCGGCAGTTTCGGAGCAACCGGAGAGAGAGCCTGATGCGAAAGATCATGGGTTCCCCGTCGGCTGTTGCGCAAAGCTAGGTGGCAGTTCGGAGCAACCGGGGTTGACGTGAGGTATATTGTTCGTCTGAGATTACCTGACGAAGCTGTGGCTAAAGTCGACATGCCACAAACCGCGGTTTTGGTTTCTCGAGTGCCCGGGTGCATGGCTGGGAAAGGAGCCTTCCGTACAATCAGGGCGCAAACATGCAGATTTCTCAAGTTTGCTGGCATACCGTACGGCCCATACCGGTGACCACTCACTGCATCAAAAGCCCAAATGATTGACGATCGAGAAACTGTGTACATATCTCCCTTGCTGCCGTTGCTTGCAATCGGTTTGAGTGAGAAACCTAGCGAAAAATTCACTCGCTTTGGACGCCGTGCTATCGAGGGTTCTCCTGGGAGACTACTCGGGTCAAACACCGGTTGGCACCGCGCACAGGATGAAACAACGTGAAAAGGATGAGATGAACTCCAAGCAATCCGACCGATTCGATTCATGAGCCTACGGGTCTCTTCCTCAGTCCATCTTCACCTCCCCAGAGGGAACTCTACGAAACGATGCAATCTTCAGAAGGCAAATTTTCAACCTGCAAATCTAGATTCATTGGCTACCGTACACTGGATTGTCTCCTCCACTCAAGAGTGATAATACAGCTTCATGCCCCGGCAGATTGGAGCGATTTATCATGGCTGAGGGTTGACGGACAGCTTGTCGCAACACCGTTTTCCCTGAACACAAGCTTTGCAAATGTTGAAACCAATCCGTTCAAGGCCGTCTCCAATGCAAGCAAGTATGGGCAAATTGAGAGTCTGGTGACTCCATGCCAAACTAAAAGGGCATACTGGCGGCGGAGAAACGTGCCGTGCCACTGGCTTCCACGACGACGTTGCCTCTTCCACTCGATTTTTGTACAACAATCAACACCCGTTGAGATGAGGTGATGGTATGCATGCAGATGAGGGCAATTGTATTCAGTTTCTTGGCTCCAGACCAATCTATTCTCGGAGCTCCACCAAGAATTGCATAATTCTTGGACTCCTTCTCGTGACTATTACGTCCATACCTAATCTCAGCAAGGTGGCTGGCATAATGGAATCATCAAGATTTGGACCTTCAATGGAACATGAGAGCTGTTGCAAACAACCCTCTTCTGAATCCAATCATGCTTCGGCTTCCTATTCTCCCATACTGGTATGGTACACACTTTTGGACGAGACTCTGTGTGGCTGATGAACCCCCTGGAGCCAGAACGAAAACTCGTTTGGAACATGATGTCTTCCATCTGCTGATTCATTCCAAGGAGCAGATTAGAGACGTCGGATCAAAACCAAACGTGACAATCAACCAATTTGCATCACCACTTTCATCTTTGCTTTTCCTGTTTGTTTTTGAACATTGCAAACTATATCCGGAATGAAATCAAATCGTTAGGATTGAGGAGCTCCCTCAAGGAGAAAGCAAGGGAGCGGAAGCACTACTGACGTCGACGATGTGTTTCGTGCACTGCACTCAGATCCGGCTTCCATTTAAACCCGAGTTCTGTTCCTGCCAGGCCGAGTAACGGAGCGACTGGGTGCGGAAAGCTCTGCGGAAGACCAGAGAGATTGAACTCAGTGATGTCGAAGCTACTTCTGCACAACAGCTGTTCAACGTTACAACTCACCAACCCACAATCTTGCCAGGTGGAGGAGTTGACCTGTAAACCAGTACTCCAGTAAGTTTCTCAGTATGATATCCAGATCTAGTAGCTAGCTAGCTGGGCGGAAGGGGTTCGCATGCGCAGGGACCTTTTTTTCCATAGAACTCTGCACGACCTTGGGCCACAGAATTGGCTGCTGTACCGGTGGCTAAGCAGAGGTTGTTTTTTGCTTGCTGTTGCAGTAAGTTTTGCTGAATTTTAAGCGCCGAGCAACTGCCACCACAGGACGCATCGCCTTGACTCTGTCGCCTCAATTTAGCTGACCATGGTGACTGCGAGTATGTTCGTACCGGTACGGTACGCTTCTCTGTGTGTGTTTTCTTGGTTTCGCTCGGCTTGGCTTGGCTTGGCTTGGCTTACATCTATCTCCTCGTTGCTCTCTTTACAGAACCAAAAAGAAGCAGTGATCCGCCACACCAGATGGAAGGCGGAGATACGCGGAGGCAAGCGAAGAGGGCACAGATGACTTGAGGAAGGCCTGTCCCTTGGGATGATGAAGGTCGGTGTTGATGTCAGCACAAGAGCACATATGACTTGGGGAAGGGCTGCCCCTTCTCTTCTTCGTTGCGTTCAGCAAAGCACCCCGTCAGTCTGAAACACAAGTCTGTTTCCTGCAATTGATATCACCTGATGATGAGATGCTCTAGAGTGTGCTACAGCTCTTCATTGTCAGGTTCATTGGTGGCACGAAATAGCCTTGCTTGGTTCATACTGACGCGGTGCTTTGCTGAATCCAACAAAGAAGAGGGCACATAATAGAATGAGAGAATATGTGGCTTCTCCTTGCTATTCCCAGATGTACATGAGTCCAGCGTCTTGGAGGAATTGGACAAGAAGAAGGTGAGGATGCACCGAGTGACTCAGTCAAGGGACAAGAGCAAAGATGACTTGGGGAAGGGCTGTCCCTTCTCTTGTTGCAATCAGCAAAGCACCCCGTCAGTCTGAAGCACATGTCTGATTCCCACCATTGATATCACCTGATGACAAGTGCATCTACAATGTGCTGCAGTTCTTTGTTGCCAGGTTCATTGTGGCACGAAATAGACTTGCTTGGTTCATACTGACGCGGTGCTTTGCTGAATCCAACAAAGAAGAGGGGGCATAACAGAATGAGAGACTATGTGGCTTCTCCTTGCTATTCCCAGATGTATATTAGTCCAGCATCTTGGAGGAATTGGGTAAGATGAAGGCGAGGATGCACCGACTTACTCAGTCAAGGGACAAGAGCAAAGATAAACAGAGGGAAGGTCCTGCATTCTGCCAGGCATTCCGTAAGTCTGAAGCACATGTCTGATTCCCACCATTGATATCACCTGATGACAAGTGCATCTACAATGTGCTGCAGTTCTTTGTTGCCAGGTTCATTGGTGGTGTTAAACAGAAACAGACTTGTTTGGTTCATACTGACGCGGATGCTTTGCCAAGTGCACCATAGAAGCCCCGACCAGTGTCAAGAAAGCAAAACACACAACAGGCAGAACGTGTACATGTACGGGGAGATCAGGTGCACGAGCAGGACGGAACATAATCTTTTGTTGGTTTGAGGGCATATAGATGAAGAAGATATCTCAATTCATTCACTGCAAAATGGTCAATGAATCGAATCAGCCTACCTGACATCTCCATCACAAGGAGGTCGAACCGATCAACTCTAGATCTCCCCAAGACAAGCCGAGATGCGGGGGTTATTACTGCAGCACATGAACCTCGCCATGGTTCGCTGCGGATGCCACGGACCAAACAGATCGTAAGGCTTGGTGATTCAGTTGCTCCATCGTAGCCAAACAGTTTTGGAAGGAGCGAAGACTAATGTCAATCTATCAGACTGCGACGATGCCGAGAAAGCCTCTTGGAGAAAATGGCCAGTTTTGATACAATTATACGTACGAGGCAGGAAGGAAACTCAAACAGGGGAGGCTGAAATTCTTCACGCACGACGCACACAGGGGACCAAACCACCCGCGCTGTTGAGATTGAACTCTGGGAACCACGAAGGAATGATACCTTCGATTTTCAAAGATGTAATACAGTAAATTTTGGTGTTGCTCTGCTGCTATCTTTGTCCGTATTTTGCAGGGTGTAGAAACGTGGATCAGATAGTTTTGATTTTCGCCTACTACAGAGCATTCCCTGGAAGTCAAGTAATGAAACCAGGCAGGCAAATAGATTGCTACGATTCGCAGCGGACGGGTCCGGACCGAATGTACCCACTCCTAGCTATTACCCAGCTAGCCACACACCAATTTTTCGAATTATTGTCACAGCTCGAAGCTTCCAATGAATTTTCCAAATATCGTAGTAGCCTGTTGCTCTAGCTAGCTAGCTGCTAGCTAGCTAGATTCCGTCTCCACCCAAATCCTCAAACCTGGACTTCCATCTTGCCTTTTCTTGCTGAAGAGTGTTGAGGACGTGTTTGGGATTTTGGTTTTCCTGGTGCCATTCTTCAATAGGGCGGTAACCACCAGTTTTGGTTGCATTTTGGGTTTGGGTGTTTTCAGGTTCGGATGAGTGACTGTCGTCATCGTTAGCCATCCTTCTTTGAAAGCCACCTGGTCTTGCGATCGTCCCGACAAAGCATCTTACCTCACGAGCAGCCGTGGGCACGTGTTGCGGCACAAATGAGGTGCATTGTCCCCCCAACAAGATGAGGAGGCAAAGATTCAGCTTTCTAATATCAGAGATCATGGTCAACCGCCAGTGTTTTGAGGGCAATGGGTCAGGTACTGGTAACCGGTATTAGCCGACCGTTGTTGGGTGCAGAGAAAGAATGGCAGGAAAAAGATTTTAGAGGAATCAGGAAGAAA